GGGTGATAACAGACACTACCAAGGGTGATAACAGACACTACCAGGTGATAACGACACTACCAAGGGTGATAACAGACACTACCAAGGGTGATAACAGACACTACCAGGGTGATAACAGACACTACCAAGGGTAACAGACACTACCAAGGGTGATAACAGACACTACCAGGGTGATAACAGACACTACCAAGGGTGATAACAGACACTACCAAGGGTGATAACAGACACTACCAGGGTGATAACAGACACTACCAGGGTGATAACATACTAACAGGATAACAGACACTACCAAGGGTGATAACAGACACTACCAGGTGATAACAGACACTACCAGGGTGATAACATACTACCAGGTGATAACATACTACCAGGTGATAACATACTACCAGGTGATAACAATAACAGACACTACCAAGGGTGATAACAGACACTACCAAGGGTGATAACAGACACTACCAGGGTGATAACAGACTACCAGTGATAACAATAAGAGACACTACCAGGATGATAACAGACACTACCAGGGTGATAACAGACACTACCAGGATGATAACAGACACTACCAGGGGTGATAACAGACACTACCAGGTGATAACATACTACCAGGGGTGATAACAGACACTACCAGGTGATAACATACTACCAGGGTGATAACAGACACTACCAGTGATAACAAAGACACTACCAGGGGTGATAACATACTACCAGGTGATAACAGACACTACCAGGGTGATAACAGACACTACCAGGGTGATAACATACTACCAGGTGATCAATAAGAGACACTACACAGGTGATAACAGAGACTACCAGGGATGATAACAGACACTACCAGGGGTGATAACAGACACTACCAGGGTGATAACAGACACTACCAGGGTGATAAATGACACTACCAGGGTGATAACATACTACCAGGGGTGATAACAATAAGACACTACCAGGGTGATAACAGAACACTACCAGGTGATAACAGACACTACCAAGGGTGATAACAGACACTACCAGGATGATAACAGACACTACCAGGGTGATAACATACTACCAGGGGTGATAACAGACACTACCAGGGATGATAACAGACACTACCAGGGGTGATAACATACCAGGGTGATAACAGACACTACCAGGGTGATAACATACTACCAGGGTGATATCAGACACTACCAGGGGTGATAACAGACACTACCAGGGGTGATAACATACTACCAGGTGATAACATACTACCAGGGTGATAACATACTACCAGGGTGATAATAACAGACACTACCAAGGGTGATAACAGACACTACCAAGGGTGATAACAGACACTACCAGGGTGATAACAGACACTACCAAGGGTGATAACAGACACTACCAAGGGTGATAACAGACACTACCAGGGTGATAACAGACACTACCAAGGGTGATAACAGACACTACCAAGGGTGATAACAGACACTACCAGGGATAACAGACACTACCAGGGTGATAACATACTACCAGGGTGATAACAGAACTACCAAGGGTGATAACAGACACTACCAGGGGTGATAACAGACACTACCAGGGGTGATAACATACTACCAGGGGTGATAACATACCAGGTGATAACATACTACCAGTGATAACAAAACAACAATACCAAGGGTGATAACAGACACTACCAAGGGTATAACAGACACTACCAGGGTGATAACAGACTACCAGGTGATAACAATAAGAGACACTACCAGGATGATAACAGACACTACCAGGGGTGATAACAGACACTACCAGGATGATAACAGACACTACCAGGTGATAACAGACACTACCAGGGGTGATAACATACTACCAGGGTGAAAAATAAAGACACTACCAAGGGTGATAACAGACACTACCAGGGGTGATAACAGACACTACCAGGTGATAACAATAAGAGACACTACCAAGGATAACAGACACTACCAGGGTGATAACAGACACTACCAGGGGTGATAACAGACACTACCAGGGGTGATAACATACTACCAGGTGATAACAATAAGAGACACTACCAGGGGTGATAAAAGACACTACCAGGATGATAACAGACACTACCAGGGTGATAACAGACACTACCAGGGGTGTACAGACACTACAGGGGGATAACAGACACTACCAGGGTGATAACATACTACCAGGTGATAACAATAAGAGACACTACCAAGGGTGATAACAGACACTACCAGGGGTGATAACAGACACTACCAGGTGATAACAGACACTACCAGGGTGATAATACTACCAGGGTGATAACAAAAGAGACACCAAGGGTGATAACAGACTACCAGGGTGATAACAGACACTACCGGGGTGATAACATAACCAGGTGACAGAGACACTACCAAGGGTGATAAAGACACTACCAGGTGATAACAGACACTACCAGGGGTGATAACAAGAGACACTACCAAGGGTGATAACAGACACTACCAGGGTGATAACATACTACCAGGGGTGATAACAGACACTACCAGGGGTGATAACAGACACTCAGGTGATAACAGACACTACCAGGGGTGATAACATACTACCAGGGGTGATAACATACTACCAGGGTGATAACAGACACTTACCAGGGTGATAACATACTACCAGGTATAACATACTACCAGGGTGATAACATACTACCAGGGGTGATAACATACTACCAAGTATAACAGACACTACCAGGTGATAACAATAAGAGACACTACCAGGGGTGATAACAGACACTACCAGGGGTGATAACATACTACCAGGGTGATAACAGACACTACCAGGGTGATAACAGACACTACCAGGGTGATAACATACTACCAGGGTGATAACATACTACCAGGTGATAACAGACACTACCAGGGGTGATAACAATAAGAGACACTACCAGGGGTGTGATAACAGACACTACCAGGGGTGATAACAGACACTACCAGGGATGATAACAGACACCAGGGTGATAACAGACACTACCAGGGGTGATAACATACTACCGGGGTGATAACAATAGACACTACCAAGGGTGATAACAGACACTAGGGGTGATATGAACACTACCAGGGATGATAAAGACACTACCGGGTGATAACAGACACTACCAGGGTGATAACATACTACCGGGGTGATAACAATAAGACACTACCAAGGGTGATAACAGACACTAGGGGTGATAACGAACTACGGGGTGATAACATACTACAGGGGTGATAAATACTACCAGGGGTGATAACATACTACCAGGGGTGATAACAATAACAGACACTACCAGGGGTGATAACAGAACACTACCAGGGGTGATAACAGACACTACCAGGGTGATAACATACTACCAGGGGTGATAATAAACACGGTGATAAAGACACTACCAGGTGATACATACTACCAGGGGTGATAACAGACACTACCAGGGTGATAACAAGACACTACCAGGGGTGATACATACTACCAGGGTGATAACAATAAGAGACACTACCAAGGGTGATAACAGACACTACCAGGGGTGATAACATACAGGGTACCTACCGGTGATAAAGTGATAACAGACTGGGGTGATAACATACTAGGGGTGATAACATACTACCAGTACCAGGGGTGATAACAATAACAGACACTACCAGGGTGATAACAGACACTACCAGGGGTGATAACAGACACTACCAGGGGTGATAACAACACTACCAGGGATGATAACAGACACTACCAGGGTGATAACAGACACTACCAGGGGTGATAACAGACACTACCAGGGGTGATAACAGACACTACCAGGGGTGATAACATACTACCAGGGGTGATAACAATAGAACACTACCAAGGGTGATAACAGAGACACTTGCAGGGTGATAAACCTACCAGGGGTGATAACATACTACCGGGGTGATAACAAGACACTGGGGTGATAACAATAGAGACACTACAGGGGTGATAACAATAAGACTAGGGGTGATAACAGACACTACCGGGGGTGATAACAGACACCAGGGTGATAGTAGACACACTACCAGGGGTGATAACAGACACTACCAGGGGTGACAACACACTACCAGGGGTGATAACTTACCCTCCCATGTTGCTTTCTGAGGCTCTCTGACCGGTTGACTGGGGTGCCTGACTTCTTCTTGTGCTGCTGTAGACTGTGTTTGGTCGTGTAAGGACAACACAGTGTTACTAGTTAGTCTTTACCGCCACCTAACACACAGGAAAAACAAACTAAGATTAATGCAAGGAACTGAGACGAAGAAAGAGAGAAAATGCGAGGAACTGAGACGAGAAAGAGAAAAATGCGAGAACTGAGATGAAGAAAGAGAGAAAAATGCGAGAACACGGAGAAAAGCGAGAAAATGCGAGGAACTGAGACGAAGAAAGCGAAAATGCGAGGAACTGAGACGAAAGAAAGCGAAAAATGCGAGGAACTGAGACAAACTAAGATAAATGCGAGGAACTGAGACAGACTACGAGAGAAGGAGATCACAGTAAAAGGAGAAATGGGAGAAGATAATAACTATAAGCATATACTCCATACACTTAAATAAGGGAAAGAGCAAAAAGAGGATAAAACGGGAAAGATTGAGAACATTTATTAATATTATCCAGTGAAAAAGTTAAGTATCACAGGTTCTTAAGGCAACTTCGTCCTAACTGGTCACGAAAACCCCATATATACTTAACTACCCACACGATGCATAGTTAACTACCCACACGACCCATATATAGTTAACTACCCACGCGTGCATTTAACTACCCACGGCCCATATATAGTTTACTACCCACGACCCATATATAGTTAACTACCCACACGATGCATAGTTAACTACCCACGACCCATATTAGTTTACCCACGACCCATATATAGTTAACTACCCACATGATACGGTTAACTATCACGATACATGAATAACTACCCACGACCCATCATAGTTAACTACCCACGACTCGTACATAGATAACAACCCACACGATCTAAATATCCACAAAATTCCATCACTCTACATTGGACACGACAAACCTGAGCGACACGGAAGTAATTGTGGACGACCAATTGTGTGAATCAACACCCGCCCCCCCCTCCTCTGGCCTGAATACACCCCTCTCCCTTTGCCCCAGGCCACCCCCTCATAGAGAACAAACAAAGTGACAACAGTTGTGTGTAACCGAGACCTCTTCCTCCCTCCTCCTCTTTACACACACACACACACACACACACACACACACACACAGGATCTGCCTATAAACCCAAAAGGTAATTTATCTCACTAAAATTAAAGCTCACCCGAAATATTACACAGTGGATTGATGATACTGTATTACAATGACTCACCTCACATCCAGCAATACCCCGATACATGATGAGACAACCTTCAGCAGAGGAATACATAAACAAACAGAGGAATACATAAACAAACACAGGCATACATAAACAAACAGGCATAATAAAAACACAGGCATACATAAACAAACACAGGCACTAAACAAACACAGGCATATATAAACAAACACAGGCATACATAAACAAACACAGTGGATACATAAACAAACACAGGCATACATAAACAAACACAGGCATACATAAACAAACACAGGCATACATAAACAAACAGGCAACATAAACAAACACAGGCATACATAAACAAACACAGGCATACATAAACAAACACAGGAATACATAAACAAACACAGGCATACATAAACAAACACAGGCATACATGAACAAACACCAGTGTCACGGACTCTGGTCTATAAAGATCGCTCCCAACGTAACAAAAAAACACAAATTTACTTCGAATAAAAGAAAAAAAATAATAATAATTACTGTTACTAATAATACAACACTTCTAACAATACTGTAATAATAATACTGTACTAATAGTCTGACGAATATTACCCATACTCGAGTCATATAACAATACGTAAATATACAATAAAGCTACCTGGATTTAGTGGGACGAAAAGTGGATTGTGAGTATTTAGAGAGAGAGAGAGAGAGAGAGAGAGAGAGAGAGAGAGAGAGACGCCACAACACCAATGGCGACTATAAGTGACCCAGACCACATTTGAAACACAAAATTTAAGTTGAAACACACGAAACACCGAAGCGGCACAACGTTAAGGTAAGACACTTAACTGAACAACACAGAACCGTGGCTTAACTCTTAACTAAACCACTTGATGCAGAACACAACACAAAATACTTATACTAATTTAACAAATCAATTTGAACTAAAACAACAAAAACACGGATCACTCATTTAACTTGAAACTAAACACGGATATAATTGGTTTAAACATCAGCTTAAACGCGGATAATCACTTTAACTTAAACCTACACACAGACAGCGGACCACTGGTTTAATTTAAGCTACAGCATAACGTTAATATTATTGTTTCAGCTGATACCGCGTGATGTGAGGCCACGCCACAGTACCGAACACATCATCATCCACGCCCTCACATCATCACCCACGCCCTCACATCATCACCCACGCCCTCACATCATCACCCACGCCCTCACATCATCACCCACGCCCTCACATCATCACCCACGCCCTCACATCATCACCCACGCCTCACATCATCACCCACGCCCCCGCCACATCATAACCCACGTCCCTCACATCATCACCCACACCCCTCACATCATCACCCACGCCCTCACATCATCAACACCACGCTCACATCATCACCCACACCTCACATCATCACCCACACCTCACATCATCACCCACGCCCTCACATCATCACCCACGCCTCACATCATCACCCACACCTCACATCATCACCCACGCCCCTCACATCATCACCCACGCCCTCACATCATCACCCACGCCCTCACATCATCACCACGCCCTCACATCAGAGTCACCCACACCCTCACATCATCACCCACGCCCTCACATCATCAACACCCAACACATCTACAACGTTAAAGCAGGATACTCCCCCACTGATTACGGCCACAGTAGGTAATTTAATGAGTGATGGCTGTTAAACACTCAATTGTTAATTATCACTCCCTGATACCATGCCATTATTTTTTCAGCGCAGTATATATAAAAAACGCGGCCATGTAAGTACATACAGTCACACAAGATACTACAACACAGATGAATTGGGGGGGGGAAATTGAAAATTGTTATCAGCAACCATGAGTATGGGTGGAGGAGAGAGAGAGAGAGAGGGGAGCAAGAGAGAGTGGGGGGAGGAAGAGGGGGGGACAAGAGAGAAAGGGGGAGCAAGAGAGAAAAGGGGACAAGAGAGAGAGGGGGAGCAAGAGAGAAAGGGGGAGCAAGAGAGAAAGGGGGAGGAAGAGAGAGAGAGGGGAGGAAGAGGGGGGGACAAGAGAGAGGGTGTCAAGAAGCTTACTGGCTGCGGCAGTGGGCGTAATGGTGGGCGAATTCAAGGCAAGGCTGTTGGAGTGGTTCAGTGTTAAAGAACTGCTGGTGGTGGTGGTAGTGGGCGGCGTGCAACACGGTGGGCTGGATAGGCTGGGTGGACGGCATACTAGCCCCCGGCGGCAGCGGTTGATAAAACACGCCAGTCCCGGTCTTGGGCGCTGCAGCCAGTGGCGTCACGGGCGAACCGCCTTCAATTATTTCTTGACTTCGCCGCTTGTTGGTGCGACCGTCCTTGTTCCTCAACATGGCTATAAATGTCTTCTGGTAAGGTGCCTGCGGCATGTTCTTCCCTTTCGGCAGCGTTGGAGGCTTATCATTCCGAGTCTTGCGAGCTGCATGGTCGTGGCTGGTGATGGGTGCCGTAGCATATTTCTTTTTCCTCTCCTCAAAAGACTCGAAGGCCGTTTGGCGATCGAGTTGGGACTCTGACCCGTGGAAGGAGGAGCGTCGGGGGGAAGGCCCCCGCTGTCGGTACTGCGCGTGCAGCCGTAGGGGCGCACCTGTGACCGCAGGCAGGTGCTCAGCGCTGTTCTTCCTCTTGGTGAACATCGATACACTCTCACAGTTTACCAAGATGTGATAAAATACTTAAAACTTCACTAACACCCAAGTATTATTTCGGTTATTTATCCTCCCATAAACGCCCGACTCTATCTCTCCGATACACTTAACACTGCCATTATACTCTCAATGTTTCAAAGCACTGACTCACTTTATCTTAATTTACACACTGCTTCACGTCTCACACGATTTATGCCGATATCACTATATTATATAAACTGCACCACAACGTGTTTAAGAAAAGTTCACAAATATTAAAAATTACATTTAGGTGCATGGTGGCACACGGAGACGGCAAAGGGGGGGCGGGCACAAGTAGTAGATAAGAACACACATAGTGAAATAATGAACCATCACCGCACATCCATCTCTCAGCACGCCTCGCACTACACTACCACCTGTTACAGTGCCAAATATCCCAGGGCAGGAGGGTGGGCCTGGTGGCACTGGGTGTAGAGAGAGAAAGAGAGAGAGAGCGAGGGGGTGTTATGGAACACGAGAGTGGCACGAGACTGAGGCAGGAAGCGTAGTGAGTGATAAAGCCAGACTCGCTCCACCTCTAGTCCCGACGCAAGATTCTCCTACCAGCTAGACACACATCCTACACTACACCTCATTTTAACCTCACGTAAACTTAACATAAATATTCTACGGGTTAAAAAAAGAAGAAAAACCTGAAGTATCATTTACACAAAACCTCAAACGCTAAACGAAAATCGATATATAAATTAATGTGCTCATATGATCAGGTAGGTAATTCTTTTAAGTGGTGCCAGGAAATACCCGATACTATGCTGGGCTAGATCATCTGCTCCCCGCTGTCACCGAGGAGACTTTACTCCTTACCCACACTTATGAGTCAACCATTGTCTTAATACCTTAACTATGACAACAAATGATAATGAAAAATAACTTCACTAACTCCCTCTGACCCTTCACCAGGAGGGTAGTGGTCCCTCCCCACTACACCAGGAGGGTAGTGGTCCCTCCCCACTACACCAGGAGGGAACTGGTCCCTCCCCACTACACCAGGAGGGTAGTGGTCCCTCCCCACTACACCAGGAGGGTACTGGTCCCTTCCCACTACACCAGGAGGGTACTGGTCCCTCCCCACTACACCAGGAGGGTACTGGTCCCTCCCCACTACACCAGGAGGGTACTGGTCCCTCCCCACTACACCAGGAGGGTACTGGTCCCTCCCCACTACAGGAGGGTAGTGGCCCCTCCCCACCACACCAGGAGGGTAGTGGTCCTCCCCCACCACCAGGAGGGTACTGGTCCCTCCCACTACACCAGGAGGGTGTCCCTGGAGGGTACTCCCTCCCCACTACACACAGGAGGGGCACTGGAGGTACTGGTCCTCCCCCACTACACCAGAGGTAGTGGTCCCTCCCACTGGTGGTCCCTCCCCACACCAGGAGGGTGTGGTCCTCCCACTACACCAGGAGTGCTGGTCCCTCCCACTACACCAGGAGGAGGGGTACTGGTCCCTCCCCACTACACCAGGAGGGTACTGGTCCCTCCCCACTACACCAGGAGGGTAGTGGTCCCTCCCCACTACACCAGGAGGGTACTGGTCCCTCCCCACTACACCAGGAGGGTACTGGTCCCTCCCCACTACACCAGGAGGGTAGTGGTCCCTCCCCACTACACCAGGAGGGTACTGGTCCCTCCCCACTACACCAGGAGGGTACTGGTCTCCCATCTAGCACTCCAAAGAATGGTGAGTATGGTGGCAAGCAACAGGAACAGTGGGTATGACCGCAGACAAAACTGATGGATATAGTGAAGGGTAAGAATGGCGTGCTCAGATCACACACACACACACACACGTACAATCCCACATCAAGTCACGCCTCCGCTGACAGAGGCCGACCCAACCTTCGCAACCTTGAAGCTGATAGACCCACCTGGCCAAACACGACCACCCCTTAACACTCCCCGCTCCTCACACCCCAGTGGAGGACTCGAGGTACCGCCAGCCCGGGAGACAACAACCTGCAGCTAAATCCTCAAACAAAATAAAAATAAAATCCCCAAGTGCAACGAAATAGATCACGAGGATTAATTTTAACCCCAAAATAAATTTACTCGTTACACAAAATACATAATAAGACCAAAAGTAAGTTAAATTCGAATAAAAACAAAATTGATATCGGCAAAAAATAAAATTACATTGGGGCCAAAAAAATACCCATTTTTGTATAAAATGTACCCAGAAAATATTCAAAACATGAATTACCCCAAAAAACATGAATATTTATAACAGAATTCGGTATAACTTTTATACGAAAAAAATTATACACGATACACGGTACATATTATATATCTTAAATACAGTGGTGATGCAGTACCTTTTACATGCCCCCCCCCCTAAAAAAATACAGTATTTACTCCGCAAGATATACATTTTATACACACAAAATACATTTATAAAGATGACGACACTCCCATACGCCACGACTAAATTAGCACACGACACGAAATACCTTAACATCCACCACAAAAAAAGAGTATTAGCGGCAGTGTGGTAGAGACAGGACTTTGCACCACCACCACAATGGCAATGTTACAAAATAATAGGTACAGGTTACAGTATGGTACAAACAACATACATACACCTACAACAGGGTACAAACAACATAGATACCTACAACATGGTACAAACAACATAGATACCTACAACATGGTACAAACAACATGCATTACCTACAACATGGTACAAACAACATAGATACCTACAACATGGTACAAACAACATACATACACCTACAACATGGTACAAACAAGGCACATTAACCTGCAACAGCATGGTACAAACAACATACATACACCTGCAACATGGTACAAACAACATACATTACCTTCAAGATGGTACAAACAACATACATACACCTACAACATGGTACAAACAACATGCATTACCTACAACAACATAGATACCTACAACATGGGACAAACAACATACATTACCTTCAACAACATGGAACAAACAACATGCATACACCTACAACATGATACAAACAACATGCATTACCTACAACAACATGGAACAAACAACATAGATACCTACAACATGGGACAAACAACATACATTACCTTCAACAACATGGAACAAACAACATGGGACAAACAACATACATTACCTTCAACAACATGGTACAAACAACATGCATTACCTACAACAACATGGAACAAACAACATAGATACCTACAACATGGGACAACAACATACATTATCCTACAACAGCATGGTACAAACAACATGCATTAACCTACAACAGCATGGTACAAACAACATACATACACCTGCAACATGGTACAAACAACATAGATACCTACAACATGGTACAAACAACATACATACATCTACAACATGGTACAAACAAGGCACATTAACCTGCAACAGCATGGTACAAACAACATACATACACCTGCAACATGGTACAAACAACATACATACACCTACAACATGGGACAAACAACATACATTACCTACAACATGGTACAAACAACATACATACACCTACAACATGGTACAAACAAGGCACATTAACCTGCAACAGCATGGTACAAACAACATACATACACCTGCAACATGGTACAAACAACATAGATACCTACAACATGGTACAAACAACATACATACACCTACAACATGGGACAATTAACATACATTATCCTACAACACTCAAGGTTAATACTCGGGAATGAAACACACTGCCATAATGACAAAGCAGGACACTGTATTCCACTCGATAAGTAAACAACAAACAAAAACTAAACCAAGCCAAGAAATAACACAGGATAAACAGCCGTGAAACAACGCAAAAATAAGAAAAGAAACGGCGATTGGAAGCGAGGATAAATAAAAACAATAATTAGACTTCCGTGTTTCCGTTAGGGACAAATTTAAAGTAAATATTTGGAGCTAACCCCAATTAACGTCAGAAGGATTATGTGTTATTAAATCACCAGTGATATAAATTACTCGATATTCAACTAACTGTAAATGACACTATATTATTTTACATCACAAGATTACGTTTTCAACCCGACTCCAAATACAATTGTATACTGTATATACATCAGTTCTCCCTATCAACATACCCGTTTTCTTTAATAATAGTAACAGCAGGAAACTTCGTAGAAAACGTACCACTTAGCATCACCAACTGCAGCAACACCAAGATTTTTTTTTACTTCACTCAACTTCTAGTCCTACAATTAAACTAAGCACTTCACTTCTAGTCATTAATGTGTCTTCAGTTTTCACAGCCTTGACTTAGCATATTGTTCATCTTTCCTGACCTGACTTGACGGAGTGTTCTCACAGCTTTAAGCAGCCATTGAAAATAATCTGGTCAAACGTGTTAAACTGGCCATTGATTATAACCTGTTCCCGATAACGTGTATTATTTCATTCATTATTTATCTAAAATTCTCAACAATTGTTCATTATTTATCGACACATTTATGCATTATTCATCTATATTTCCCTTCTTAACCATCTGTACCACCCCCTCGTGTTCACAACCATCTGCACCTCTCCCTCGTGTTCACAAC